CTTCTGATCAAATATTCAACAACCCAGTGCATGTTGGCACAGCACCCACAAGCCTGCTGGGGATCACAAGTAATACATATGACCAGGATACCTCTACTGCCGTCCGTACGGCCACAGGCACTGGGCAGCCAGCACCCCCCACAGCTCCAGTGGCGCACAGTACAGGCATAAACTGGACTGTAAACCCGTCCTGACTTCTCTGTAGTTCGCTTGTTCCAGTGACAGATTCAGCACAAGTTATCAATATGTCACACCTGATCCCCTGCCCAACCAGTTTTTCCCTGACCTGTCTTATACATATTACAAACAGTTTTGGTCCGTTGCGGTGCAATACTGAGCAATTCAAACAGTTCCTTAATTTCCGAAGTTTAACACTGGAGTTCAATAGTCTGTTCCAAGAAATCTTCTCTGGAATTCACATGCTCTTTAATGCTTAATGAAGAGCAGATTTTCAGTGAGATTTCCTATTAGCCTGTCTCAGAGAAGGCTCTTACCATACTGCAAAGCTTCACTTTTCATTCTTCTAAAGACACTACTGCACTGGAGGCATGATACCCCAGGTTCTACCTTCACCCAAGAAAAACATTAAAGCACAGTACAGCAATTCTAATATTCTTCTCGAATTAACAGTATGCCCATTACTGAAACAAATATTTTACAAAACAAAGAAGAAACACTGAATTTTCCTTTTACAAGTCACTGCATTTGTTACATACCTCAGAACTGTTAGGATCTAAAATCAAATTTCACAACTGGAAATTAACCTGAAAAAAGTCAACTTCAACAAGTTACTTACTGTAAATTGGCTACTTTTACTGATACAGGAATGTGGGGAAGTTGAGTGGCCCATTTCAGGGTAACAACTTGATAAACATTCAACATTTTACTACGGCTTCCAATTAGAGTATTTATTGTTCCTTCTTTCACTGTTAAAGATATAAAAATAGTTTTAGGATGAAAGATTTTCAAAACCCAGTACTTTTCTTTGAGGCTTATGTCATTACACTACTTTTCCTTTTAAGCCATTACTTGTTATAAATGAATTTAATATATATTAAAGTGTCAAAAGTTATGAAAGTTACATTGACAATAAACAAGGACATATGTGAGTAATTGTGGATACAAATTTCAACCGTATACTACACAACACATGCCACAAATTTCCAAGGTTCTAGCCAGCCATGTTTGGTAATTTAAAACATGATGAACAAAGACTCATAATTGCCATGTCGGCATGCCAGGATAGGTATGACAAAATATACACTGGTTAAATATCAGCTACTTATACTCTTCATTAATTCATTGATTTATGAATACTAATTAAAATGTGTACATTAACAGAGCTTATTTATAGTATAATTTAAATCAGAATTATAAAATAATAAGATAATTAAGATCATAATGACTAAAATAATATTTTAAGTCTAAAATAAAACACAGGGTCCAAAATAGATTTTGAACATTAATATAGAATAGACATTAAGAATCTGTAGTTCTATAGTGGCATCCAACCAAGTTGCTTCCACACAATATAAGAAATTAGTTTCATATCCTAACAGTAAACTTTATTTGATTTTTTTACCTATCAGTCAATGACAGAAGTTCCTCAAACACTAGTTTATTCTTCCAAAATCTCTCATTCTTACATGTTTGTTGTTTTGGTAGCCTGGGAAAACGTGTCTACACTAGACAAGTACCTCAATTTGGTGATAAGAAAGTATCTATATAGATTGTAAAAATTTTGACACTTCACACTAAGTAACATCTTAAAATAAACCTGATTTATCCAAAGAGAGCTCCAATTCCAGATTTTTTTACACATCAACAGCTTATTCAGAAAAAAAAAAAATTATTCACTAAAAAAAAAAAAAAAAATCTTAGTTGCAAAAGTAATGTTGAGTTTTCCTTTTACAAACCTGAACAATAAGGAATGAAGCAATTTGGACTGTAATCAAGTTTTTTCATGAACTGAATTTGCCCATTATCCTTAAGGCAAAATAAGTTTCTCTCACCAAGCACAAAACCAGAAGAAACTGCCTGATTAAAGGAGACAATGCATATATCCTGTGTTTGCTCTCTGATGTTTAAAACCCAATCCACCTTCAAAAGAAAAAACATGCTCCAGAGACCAGTTGACAGCTGCATCTTAAAGACAAAACTTAAGAGAAGACTCAGAACTCATCAAGGTACAGGAATATCATTAACATTGATAGAAAAGCAAAATCAAGTTCTTTTTTGAAGGAGAGTTATCGTCTTATTCTGAAGGCAGTTGGTAACTTTCCTTACTGTGAGTAGAGCAGCAAAAGCATCCACTTTCTGAAAGAGTCATGAATTGATGGCTATATGTAGTTCACTTAAGTATATTTAAATTTTAGAAGACACATCCCATTCCAAATGGAAATGCTTTATACTTTAACTATTAAATCTTAAGAATAGAATATTAGAATCATTTATATCTGCCTCCGTACATGTCCTTAGATATTAAGGGCAAGATTAGAGAGCAAAAGGTGATAACTTCTTCTACCACTACATGTAAATGGAAAACCAGATTAAATTTTAGGCATATAAGCCAATATTCATGCTTGCAGTCACTAATGTACACCACTCAATCTGAGGAATGTTTGTGTGTATCGTAGCTTCTCTACTTTTCCAACTACATACATTGATATAATAAGCAACTACTTACAAACCCTGCCTTGCCTGTATCCTTCCATCTTTAAACAATATTACTCAGCTCCTCTGAGAAATTTCAACTAATTTACACATGCAAAAATTGCTTTTGACTGCTGCCAAGCTGTTTAAACAGAAATTCAGAATTTCTCACGTAAATAAGTATCAAAGTTCAACTGTCAGCACTTTCTGTATGAATAGTATCAATCATTTCGCTTAAAGAACATAGAATGAAGGGGTAAATATACCAGCATATCTGATATGTGAAGTGGCAAGTTCCACCTTAACAATCAAAGGGAAAAAAAAGCCAGGCTTAATAGATTTTTCTCCACGTACGCTTCTCAATTTAGATTTTAAAAACTTATTTAATTTGCAGCATATCTGATGAAGCTTGCAAATTTCTTATTCAAAACCTGTGTCTTCTCCTAATTCAAGATGTAGGATTCTGACTGACTTACAGTTCGAAAAAATTCTATGATTAGACACTGGAAGGAAGATGCTCTCCCAATATTTTACTGTCATACCTGAGATATGCTGAATCTAGCATTTTACACAGTACATTTAGCAGACAGGCAATTCTACTGCAGGACCACAGAGAATTAAATTCTATTCCTCATAACAGGAGACAGATCAAATATAAAACACTTAGTTACAGGGGCCTCCTGAAGACCATTGAAACCACAGGGTTTTGACAAAGAATGCAGGGTACTGACTGTTTATGGAAAACATTTTTCACTGCTGAATTTTCTCTGAGTACAGATGATTCCCCAAGTAGAATGAGGTTAATTTTGTAAATAAATCCAATACAAAGTCACAAATAGACTTAAATTGGAAACATGAGAAATATTTTAGGTACACCTGTATATCTCTTTTACTACAGTTTAGGTCCTGTATTACAAAGACTGCCTTAGAAATAGTTATTTCCAGTACACAGTTCTTTCTTTTTTTCTCCTCCTTAGAACAACAGTGAGTTTTAAGGCCCAACCTTCAACAACTGAGGCTCAAAGAAATCTTAATAGAAATCTACTGTAGTCTTTCCATTGCCTTTAATGGCAATTGGATTGGGTCCTTTGTCAGCAGACAGTGTTTCCATCCGTTACTTAGCACTGGTCTTTTCAACATGTATGCAATGTACCATACTAGTTATGTAAAATAAACAAGTTTTACCACAAGTTTTTTTCCAGAACTAAGTTTTGCTGTTGTTTCTCGTCTTTCATCAGCATCTATCACAAATGCCAACACCTGCTATCTGTGATAGGAACTTAAAAAAAAAAAAAAAAAAAAAAAAAGATAAAACTCATATTATGAGTATACATACACAGTAAAAGCACAGTCTAAAAGGATTGTTAGAAAGCCTAGTGCAACACATCTATCATCAGCAAAGATGTTAAGATAAATATCATGGTAGGATAACACAGCTGTAAAGGCAGAAATTAAAACAAACATTTCCATTCAGATTTTATCTGGTGTTAAATTCAACAGCTAGATATATTAGACGATAGAAATCCAGACCACAAAGAAGCAAAAAACCAACACATATTTTCAAACTGTGAAATTAGGACTCTAACAAAAAATAAACTTTTTTTCTCTTATTAAGCTTTATAAAAACCCTCCTAAACTACCCGGAAATACAGTGGGCTATATCTAATAGTTACACTCTCAAGCACATCCACTAAGTAAACTTAAGTGGTTCCAATCCAAGAGGTAACAGTAAACTGCACCAGCAGGTGACACATCTAGCAAACATGGGAGGTTTGTGGGTTCGTGGGGCTTTTACTGTTTTGTAATTGCCAACCAACCATACTAAGAAAAACTAGTAATGAAGGAATTAGAACAAAACTGCCATAAAATTTCAGCACATCCACCTGTCATTATTTACACCTATGCAATCTTCAATGTTCAGACTGTGTCCTCATTAACTCTTCGGCATCTATTTCTTTCCCGAATTTGTGCTGGTGTTCTCTCTGAAATACCCTGCTTCCCATGTATGCACATTAAGTAATCTATAAATTACTAACGTTTCCTACAAAAGTGAAATAAACAACAAAAAACCACAAAAAAATTATCCAAAAGATAGCATTCTGGAAGTCATGGAGTGCCATCAGCTCCTAAGCTCAAACGAATACGATTCTGAATGTTCCGATTCAAATCTAACACATAAAAGTACATATTTTTGTATATTGTCAGAATTACAGATTTAAAACTATAAGACCAGCAGCCTTCACATTTCAGATGCATATAGTGGTGCTCATTACTGAAAAATTTTTGTATCTAAAGTTATTTTACTTGCAGAAGTAAACTGTGTACTTGGAATAAGAAATTTAATGGTTTAATATGCATCCTATGATCTAGTTAAAAATACTAAATAAAACGTGTTTAGTACAATTATCATGTCTTTGTGTCCTCTATATGAACAAGTACACTTTCCTTTTTCAGTTTCACACATTTATAAGAGAAGTTGCAGATTCTGACCTAATAGAATCTTTTCACCATATTTTATTTATAGTCTTGGCTACCACATTATCATTTTATTAACTAACCAGGGACTAACACATAGTTTTCAAACCAAACTCCCACTGAACAGCAATATGTGTTGATGTTTAAGTACCAACTACCTGTGTACAAGTCTTTCATCACAAAAAAATGAAGCCACAGATGACCGACACAAACTTTCAATTCAGCTATAGCATCAAGTGTACAATCATTTAAATAGAAGGAAGTTTGCTTTTAAATCTTGAAACAATTCAGAATTAGCCCAGGCAATACTGCTTTCAAATGAAGGCATTGGTCAGTATGAGCTACAGGAAGACGGATAATTTGAAGTTTGGCAACTTGTTCTGCTAAAAACACTAGACAGAACTACTGCATTTTTTCATTTACTATAACAAGAAAAAAACATGTTTAATCCCATAAAAAGAACCTCTTCTCTCCTTACCATATCTATGTCCTTCACTTTAGAAGGACTACTTAACTCTATTCTAACATCCTAATAGTTCAGACACATTAGAGATTAGTACTGCAGTGTCTTGGCACTGAGGACCAATAACCAAGTGAAGAATCCCTTTAAAACGACACCTTCCTACAATAAAGACAGCACTTATGAATCAGTGATAGACTTCAGAAAAATTTTAGCTACATTGGTTGTAAAAGTCAAGAATCTAAACATAATGAAAATGCATGAGATTTTTTCTTGAAAATTAGTATTTCTTTATTCCTTACCAATATTAATTCTATTTCTTCAGAAAAACATGCATTTTCTATTAAATTACTTTTATGTGAAGCACATACATCTTCTCCTGTATTAAGAAAAAAAATACACAATATCTATAATCTGTTCATGCATTACCTAGAATCTAAAAACTATGTGATCAAGCTTAAGCAGAGAAAGAGCACTGCTTGAGAAATTCAGGTGACAGACTGGGGTAGTGTGACAAAGCATTCCCCAGAGTAGATTCCCAAGGCATAACCCATAAAAAGTCATGTTCTTATATTTTTTAATATGATTACCTCTGAAAAAATTCTTAAGGTACCTGTCAGACCATTTCTCCAGCTTGATGAAATTCCTCTGAGTGGCAGCCCTACCCTCTTTATATTAGCCACTTCCTATAATTTGGCATCATCCTTGAATTTCAGGACATGCATTCTGTCCTGTTGTCCAGGATGAAGAGGTTGAAGAAATATTGGCTCCAGTATCAGCTCCTGAGGAACATCACTCATCCTTGACTGCTAGTTAGAACTGTGGTCCACTACTACCCTGTAGCTTGACAGCTCTGCCACTCTTTCTTCCTTTTTTTTTTTTTTTTTAAAATCATGGCTAGTAGCTCTGCCCCAAACATCACCCCACCCCAATTTACTGCTAGGCACAGAGATTTTAAAAAGCCTAAGAGCAGACCTTGCCAGTTTCCGTGGAGAAAGGATGAGGCAAAGCAAGCGGTAAGTTCCTTGGCCTTTTCACACCTTTGTTAAAGTTGCCTAATGCGTTCAGTAGTGGGTCAATTTCCTGGATCTGCCTTTTACATCTGAGGTACCTGTGGAATTCCTTGTTCTTCAGACCTCTACCAGGAGAAGTTTTAACCAAGCTTATATCTTCTTGTTCCAATCCCCTGAATGCCCACAGGTTGTTTATATTCCTCCTTAGCAGTCCATATTAACTTCCATCTCATGCATTTCCTTTTTTCCATTTGAACTTGGCTGTGGCAATTGAGGCATGGACTCTCCATTGAAGTGCAAAAGGAAAGACCCTTTATTATTACAATAGCACATACTTATGCTCTCGATAAAGCTCTTACTTTATAATTAGCAAATCAGCAATTAGATAGCTATCAATCCTTTCTCCTATCAGCACCAGACCACTCTCACATGCTGTGCAGACCAATCCCATGCTCGCTCAGGCGCTGTTCACATGGTGGTAACTTCTCACAATTCAGGACTGTCCCACAGATCAGGGTTGCAGCTGTCTGTTGTTTTTCCCTGACACTTCGGCACAACTTAACAGCTTCTTCTCTGTCTTCCAAAGCCTGTTTTCCATCAAAGCCTAGCATTTTCTCAGAGGCGGTAGGGCCGTGTAGGGCTGACAGGCTGATGCCTCCTACATCTCCCCTTTGTTTTGTAGCTGCACCTGCAAGACTTGTTTGAGAGCTGTATCAGTTAAGGGTTAGACAAACTTCATACTTAAAATAATTCCACAGAAGGCTAAAAACAATACAGCAGTTACAATTACTCATTAAAAAGAGTAGGGCAATTTCACTACCCATAATAAAGGGATATGACTAAATACTACAAAAATAAACAGTAAGGAAGATAGGGAGTAGCACGCTTAATTAATGGGGTACTAACATTCAGATACACAATCGCTGGGGAACCCTGGATGCAGTTAGAATTCAGAGTGCCCTTCCTCGCAAACAGGAAATCCTATACGAAGCGTCCATCCGTAAGTGAGGCACCCAGCGTCACTGCAAGCAGGTCCAGCCTCTAAATCAACAGGCCAAAATAACTGGCAACTTTCTTTGAGCAGGAACATCTGATTTCATCCTCCTGTTGGGTTCCACCTGGAGCCTGGCCAGCACTCCAGGGGGAAAACCAAGGGAGTTTCTAATAAGGTTAAACACTTGAGCTCTTAACTCTTAATATTGCTAAACAAAGAAAGATGAATACACACATTCTTACAGCATTTCATCCTTATTAATAACTACATTCCATGTAAACTACATCTTTCACTAGTGACTAGTAAGCCTAGATATTGCATTAAGGAGTTACAATTACTGTTAGCATTTTCTCTTAAAATAATTGACAACTGTAGTGTAGTTTGTCCTGCTGCAGTAGCAAACATCACTCTGACATTCTGCTTAAATGATCAGTTGAAGAGATCACAAACTGTCAGCACAGGGGCACTTACAGCACCCACAGCTGGATCCTGAGTGCTGGCTGCCTCTCAGCCTCAGGTGTGGTTGCACACACCTTGCCGGTGACCATTGGAGATGAGACCTGTGGAGACACAAGCATAATCTCTTCCCCAGGTTATTAAAAGATATGGTCCTTCCCAGTTACTACTTTCTAGGGTTTTTTGTTAACACTTGAGCCTTGCTCTGGACTTCTTGTTGATCTGGTATCTGTGATGAGAAATGACACAATACTGGTGGCACCTGTGAGACAGGGGAAATGTTTAAAAGTTCATGACACATAATGCCTTATTTAGCCTTTCACGAGGTGTAGATTGATAGCCTCCATCTCGCCCCCCCCCCCCCCCCCCCCCCCCCCCCCCCCCCCCCCCCCCCCCCCCCCCCCCCCCCCCCCCCCCCCCCCCCCCCCCCCCC